AACAAAAGCTGTTCTGGCATCGCGGGGAAACAGGAACGTATATGAAGGCGCTGACGGATCCGTAGTTCCACCTGACATCATTCTGCCGCAGAAGAGGATTCGTTCAGAAATTCTACGTACTTTCAAGCCTGACTGGGCAGTAGGAAGAAGCAACAATGGATGGATGGACGTAGATAAATTTGAGTTGTACATTCGAAATATATTCCAGCCATTTCTCGTGAAGGATTCCGTGGAATTACCGGTGATATATTTCGTGGATGGACATTCATCGCACACTGCTCTAAGCGTTGCAGATCTCTGCCTTAGCTTGGGAGTTATTCTAGTGGCCCTCTATCCTAATACCACCAGAATTACGCAGCCAGCTGATGTAGCGATATTTAAGCCGCTGAAGGATGCTTGGAAAAAGGCGGTTTCGGATGGGCGTGGTGAAAATGAACAGTGAAATTAAGAAAGAGAGCATCATAAATGGTTTCAGAGTGTGCGGTTTGTACCCATTCAATGTCGAAAACGTGGATTTTAGCAAATGCATAGCCAAAGCATCCTCTTCTGTACCATCAGTAAGCTACATAGCTACAGAGAGTGAACATGTTCCGATAAATTCATCACCATTGAATAATTCGATTGAGATCATTGAAGATACTCCAGTTATGCTGATTTCACCTTTTTATGTGAAAGAATCAGTCTTGATCCCGTGTACTACGATCAACAAAGCTGTGGAGAGTATCGGAACAACTCGATTACATCGAATAATGTCAACGACGGATCTGACTGAGGATCAACAAGTCATACGATCGCTTTATGAGAAACTCCTCAAGCCATTTCATTGCCAAATTCCACAGACGATAGAAATCCCTACCCTGGACGGTAATCCTGTAGACTTGAACGACGGACAAAGAGAAACCGAACTTGTCGAGTTATCAATAGGTAGGTATCTAGTATTTTTGATTTATAGCATCTTATTTCCATGGAGATATTATTTTTCATATACATTACCGATGGTCGAAGATGACCTCGTTAGATTTGAAAACGCCGGGCCAATCGGAATCGATTCACCTGATGTGTCTAACGCAGCAGCATCGTATGATAATACTTCGTCAACGCAAACGTCCCTAACGGATCCTAAATCGAGTTACGTTTTGAAGAACATTGCCAATGTGCTGAATGAAACTATCGACAACCCGTCATTTGAGCAATCCTTCCTGCGCTCGAGGCTGGCGGACGTCGTTCTTGGAGGAAGAGGCCTTCGGCGAAGCACTGAGGCGGGAGCGAAAAACCCCGGATCTGACGGTGGAAGAACTGGTAGCAGCGCTGACAAGGGCGTGCGATACAACCATGCCTAGGAGAGCCTATCCCAGGCATGGCCATAGAACTGTGTACTGGTGGAGCGAGTCAATTCCTATCCTCAGGGCGTCTTGCCTCCAGGTGAGAAGGAGGATGCAACGAGCTCGTACGACTGAATCTCGGAAGGAACGCCGTGTCGCTCTTCGAGTGGCTAAGGCGGCCCTCAATAAAGAGATCGCTAGACGCAAGCGTGCGTGCTTTGACAGCTTATGCCAAAGCGCCAACACGAACCCATGGGGGGATGCCTACAAAGTGGTCATGGCAAAAACCCGCGGCGTGGCGGCACACCCGGAGAGATCGCCGGCGATGCTGGCGTCGATCGTTGGGTTCATGTTTCCACGTAGGGACGTAGCCTCCTGGCCGCGGATCCCAGGCGCGGATCAGGGAGAAGTGTCTAGAGTGACGAACAGAGAACTTAGCGATATTGCCAAGTCGCTGATGGTGGGCAAAGCCCCGGGCCCAGATGGGATCCCGGTTGTGGCTCTGAGGGCGGCCGTTGCGAAAAATCCAGACATGTTCCGTTCTGTTTTTCAGACCTGTCTGGACGTAGGCATCTTCCCTGATGCGTGGAAGCGGCAGAGGCTGGTGCTGCTCTCCGAAGCCAGGAAAACCCCCTGGGGACCCGTCAGCATACAGGCCCATTTGTTTGCTGGACACCACTGGTAAACTGCTTGAGAGGGTCATCCTCAACAGGTTGTCGGCTTACAGCGAAGGTGTAGACGGCCTGTCAAGCAGCCATCCGCGACGTCATCCAGACGGCAGAGGTGGTTCACCGGAAACGAAGGGGCATTCGTTACTGCGCGGTGGTAACCCTAGACGTGAAGAACGCGTTCAACAGCGCGTGCTGGGGGCGATAGCCCGCTCGCTACACCAGCTCCAAATTCCCGGAGGGCTGTACAATATTCTGGAAAGCTAGTTCCAGAATCGTGTGTGACGTACGACACAGAAGATGGCGAAAATGCGTAAGAGTCACCGCAGGAGTGCCACAAGGCTCCATCCTGGGCCCGGTGTTATGGAACGTCATGTACGATGGATTGTTGAGGATAAGATTCCCGGTAGGTGTGAAAATTGTAGGTTTTGCCGACGATGTCACGCTGGTAGTCTACGGGGAATCCCTCGAGGAGGTAGAGCTGACAGCGGCTCACTGCGTCAAACTTGTGGAGGAATGGATGAGATCCAGGAAACTGGAGCTTGCCCATCACAAGACGGAAGTGGTCGTAGTCAACAATCGCATGTCGGTACATCATGCGACGTTGACAGTCGGCGGAAGTACAATTAAGTCTGTGCGCTCTCTGAAACTCTTGGGGGTTATGCTCGATGATAAGCTCAGCTTCGGCTGCCACGTCGAGTACGCCTTCAAGAGAGCGTCTACGGCTGTGGGGGCATTATCCCGGATGACGTGCTGGCGTCGAAGAGACCGCCTGTTGTGTTCGCCTATCCACGCTTAGAGCCTGTATCGAGCGCTATGCTAGCGATATGTGGAGCGGATACCAGTCCGGATAAAATCGTCCCTAGGATGTGTGGTACCACCGAGAACTGGAGCGCGGTGGTGACTGTGGTCACCCACATAGTTTCGGAACTACAACGACAGTGGCGTGCCGAGCAGCAGTTGCCTACTGCCCGTCTAGATCGATAGAGTGTTGCTAGAGAAGCGCCATAGCGCTACAGCGGCCCCTCCCACGAAGTAATGCCTTCGGGCGGTTCCGGGGAGGTCAAGGGTCAAGCGCACAGGGTAAGGTTTAGTGGGTCGGAAGTGAAATTCTTCCATCCCCATACCCTGAGTTCCTTCTCAGGTGTCAGTGAGCAGATTCCCACCTGTATATAAAAAAAAGACTATTCATCATTCTTTTGTTCAGAGTGTGAGATAACAGATTGACATTGAAGAGGAAGACGAGTATATCATCCTTTTTGCAGTGTCCCGCAACTCCGAAGCGTGCACAGACTCCTCGAAATTACAAACGCCAGTTTTATCCAGTTCTAACAGCGGGAGAGAGACTGAATGAACTTCAACGAGTTGAGTCTGAAAAAAGCAAAATGCTATTTTTGAGAAGAAAGCAAAAGCCGATCAACGAGCAAAAACTAAACTTGAAGCTGAAGAGTTGAAAGAAGCCACCAAGGAACGAAAACGTGAAGAAGCATTGCTGAGAAAAACTGAGCGTGAACATTTGCGGAAAGCCGGGAGCAACCGGAAGCACGCAATAATATGAATTCTGTATAACTTTTCTGTTTCTGATAAAATGCGAATGTTTTGAAATAAAAATAGTAATAAAATAAAATAAGCACCCAGTTTCTCTCCCAGATTCTTGAAATATATAAACTTAAATCCAGGGAGTGTCAGACTAGTTGGTACATAATTCTGGGGTATTTATCAATGAAAATTAGAATCATTCATATTTTGTTGCTAAGCACTTACTATGGGTTTTCTATAGGTTTTCAAGCATATTTTTATTTACTGCGGATGTACCTCTAAAACGAATTCTAGCTACCACACAATTTTCGATCAAAAGTATATTTTGTCATACCTAACAATACACGTGGTTTAAGATATGTAGTCCAATGTCACCCCATCTGGCGGTACCGTATAATGCTGATCGCGACATCAATCTTCACCATTTTTGCATCGACTCAAGCACTTTTGAAAACTGTTAGAGCCCGTAGTTACTGAGTAGTCCATCAACTTGACTTTTACCGATCGATTTTTCTGGTTTCATAACTAGAACTTTTGAATGAGTTAAAAATAATAGGTTCTTGAGAACCTCGTGCAAAAAGTTGACCACTTTTTGAACTCGTGACTTTGGCGTGAGAGTTATGGATGTTTACTCCTAGAACTTCGATAAAGCAGGGTTTATTTACAATCTCCATGAAATATGCAACTTGTTACTTCATATCATTGAAATTTCTAATCATCCCAAAATTGCATGATCATGGTACATGGCCTAGAAAAGTTGAGAAGATTTCCGATTTAATGAATTCCATGACGAGATTACATCCCACCGCTTCCTGAATTAATTTGACCTGCCTTCACTGGTTAATACGGGGTGTATACATATATTCTGGTTCACTAGCTCATCCAACTAGCACGAATTTCAGTTGCTCCTGAAATCTCCTGCTGGTAGATGCTGATGCTCTGCTTACATTATGCTGACTACGTTTTAGTACACTAGCATCAGCACAACAGTACTAGGGTAATCACAAGACTGATGCAAAATTTGGCTATTGAGCGACCAAATCAAGTGTGTTCCTTTACTGCTTAGTGGCAAAATAGGAATAAGTCCCTAATGGGGTGTTTACACACGTGCTAGTGAGTCTGCCGTTTTCAAAACCATGGTTATTAGCATGATGTAAACAGTTTTTCGGTGCTGATTAACATTGGCGCATCAATTTCTGTCACAAACTTGATCAGATTACACCAATTTTGGTTGATCATCGTTATGAACCAGCACATATGTAAACAGGTCATAAGGAAACATGTATAAATATCGCAGCATTTTAGGGGGAGAGGGGTGGTTTTCAGAAGTTTTGACCATCTATTAGGTATAGAAACATATGTAACGAGGGAGAAGGGGGGTCCCTAATTAGTTAGCTTAATCACTGAAATATTAATCATCGAAATCATTGTAATCGCTTCTACATCAACAATAATAATAAATATTACGTACCGTTTACGAAATTCCCTCAGACAACAGCGTGCACTTGTGCACTTGTGTGGGCCAGGTAACGGGACTGGTCGGTCCTCACAGACACACCTTCTCGAACCGACAGGACCTGTCGCAACACACCGTCCGTCGTCCCACCGAGTAGATCCTTACACCGTCAGCCAACTCACGTACACTGTCACGGTAAAAAATAAAAGCAAACACGTTTTCCACACTCAGACAACTACAAAGCGTGTTGATGTTAATACAATTTTTCCCGAGAACGAATTTTCCTCGGTTCTTTCTGCAACTCTCACTGGGTAGCTTTTCAGCTGGACCGGAATATTTTTACCTTTCGATCAATTCACTACACAACCATAACGTTGGCTCAATTCCACCCGTTCTAGATTCGCTTCCAGGATCTCCACAATGCCAACAGCCACACTTCGGTCTCTTCTGGTGGAATCAATAAACTTAATTTTAGCCCGTTTATTTTCACACAACACTCTCCTTGCCAATCCAACACAATGCTCACAATTTATGCTCTGTTTTGAAAACACTTAACCCCGTTCACCAAAAGCACTGCACCCCCGCTTATGGACAATCGGAGACAAACTCTCCGCGTACTCGAAACACACACCAGCTATAAAATTCAAACCCTGATTTCAAGAAATCAAAAAAAAAACCGACACACTGCTCACCGGAAGTGGGGTGTCCCTAAGGCGCACTACACTCTTCTTGCCCGTGTGTTCACTTTCACGACGGAAAATTATGTCGCTCATACGCGTCCGGATACGCTCGAAGCTGCGAACCAACTGATATGCGGCGTGCTCTCGGTGCTCTGCTCGAAACGGCTGCTAGACGACAGACCGTCTAGTGTTCGCGGGCCCAAGTGCGATATCGATAAACCGACGGCAACCAACGACGTCGCTGAGATTGGGATACCACACGGCGGGTGAGTACCTCGCGTTTGTGTTGGTAGGCGTTTGTGTGTGCACTACCACCCCATCATCGGCTTGCTGGGTGGTGGCAGCTCAAAATACATCCATATGATCAAATTTGGATACAGTACGGGCAGTGCGGGCAGGTTTTGCCAGTTTGATTCAAGCTTGCTGTGGGCGATGTGATGGGAAACTTGTTTGAAATCTTTGAATAAGCACACATTTTTCGACTGTTGTAGACTGCCTATAAAAGCATAACAATTCCATATGAATTTTTGACAGAAATGAGTTATCCATTAGAATCAATTGTAAACTACCCTAATTGGTTTTGTTCGGAAAATATCGTGGAAAATACCAAAACTAGGATGTCTCATCCATAAGAGCCTACTGGTACATACATTTTCAATAGTGATTTTCTAAGCTTGCTGTTTTTTTTTAAGATATGCTTTTATGGGCAGTAGAGTTCGCGAAGCTAGGACTACTACAACGGAGGCTGCGATCCTCGTTGGAGCAAATATCGACGACAACAAAAGTGGCGATTTTAAAAATATTATTCAATTGAGTTCTTTAATTTTGAAAAATAGATCGGTTATTACCCAACAAACAATTTTAGCTGCAACTTAGCTTATACAGGCAAAAATTAGCTGCATTAGGCAAATTTTGGCTGTATAAGCTAATCTGCAGCTAAAATTGTTTGTTGGGTATACATCATCTGAAAGAGATTCGTTTTCTGAACACAATGATATTTTTTTCGATCCCATAGACTTACATGTCGATTTTTAAATCAAGATTTAATGCAAAATAATAACTTCACTGCTCGCCCCCATACAAAGTACCACCGAAGAGCACTAAGATTATAATTTATACTAATGTAATCACACTTATTTAATATAGTTCCAGTGATTTAAAATTGACATAATTTTGGATTTCGGTTCCCTTTGTCATCAATGTCATCAATTTTGGAACACTGGAACTATTTTAATTAAGTACGATAACATTAGAAAAAAAAATCACCATATTAGCACCCCTCGGTGGGATTTTGTAAGGGGGTGAGCTGTCAATTTATTGGTTTGGTGTCAAACAGTGAAGTTATTATATTGCTTTAAACCTTGATTTTTAAAAATCGATATAAACGTCTGTGGGTTCGAAAAAAATACCGATATACTCAGAAAACGAAGTTCTTTCGTTTCGGGTTTATCGCGGATTGTTTTCTTTTCACACTTCGTTTATATCACTCTTGGTTTTATCACGAAAAGTGTTACGCATTTATCACGTTTCTCAGAATTCTTAAATTTAAAATCAATATTTACATCACATCACATAAGTAACACAAAATTATATTACCAATGCATTGTAAAACATCTTTATACCCCGTACAGACTATGGCTTATATCATGTAATATAGGCTGTCTTGCAATGAGCACTCATACAAAGGATTTACAGGGGAAACTAGCTATATGAGCGCTCATTGCAAGACAGCCTATACTACATGATATAAGCCACAGTCTGTACGGGGTATTAGCGAATATTCACGATGGTCAATTGGTATTACACACAATTGAAATTTCGAATTTTTCATAGAACTGTGTGTAACAGAGCTCAAAGGTCAGTTTTTAATAATTCTAATTCTAGTCCCACTTGGAATAAGTTTGGTATCCTTCCAGGAAGTGTATTAGGGCTTCTTTTATTTATTATGTTTATCAATTATACGGAACGCATTCAATGGTTTCATGGTATAATTTTACCGATTATACTGAACAATGGATAGCTAAAATAAAAGTAAGATTAAGTGCAGTTCAGCCATTTACTGAGGAATCCGGTTGCAGGGTTTGCCAGCCACTTACCCAAGCGTCCACTCGCAATGACGGTACGATAAGGAAGAGGACGATAGACGATCACGCTTGCTCTCATAGTCTGCCGTCACATCTGCTGTGGAGTGCACAGCGTTATGTTCGTAGTAGGTACTGAGCGGCTAGCTATCTCTATACGGGGGGTATTCAATACCGCACATCTCCCTCCTCCATTAAAAAAAAAAAGTAGAAGGGTCTGTGCCTAGGGGCACGAACGGAAGCTTGGAATATGTTGATCATTTAGTTCTTAACTCATTCCGTTTTTGAATTGGTGACCCTGGAAAGGGCCGGTTGTTTTTCAAATTGTGGCCACACCAATGCAAGTCGATGCCGACCGGATGACGGTGGCCTAGTCATGCTGCCTATTGCGGGAATTGTTTCCTCCGGTCGATGTGGGTGCTTTCGTCGTCGTCTCTTCTTCGTATTGGTGCAATGCGTGCTGTTTTACTCATACGTCGTGTTCGACGCTTATCCGTCCATTGCTCGAAAGCAAATGACGAAGAAAACAATTTGACAAGCGTTTTTAATATCGCTGATTTTCTCCTCCTTTCCTTTCATTGGTGAAACGGTGAGCGGTCAACCGAGAATTGAGCTTGCTCATGTGAGCATGCGCAATGTGTCGTGTGTTCGATTTGCACTCTATCGTTGCGTCCGTGTTTGGGATTTTTCGTTACATGTTTGAATTTTGATTTTTTTTTTTAATGTGACCCTCGGTATAGAAATGAAAGACGTAATCTGAGTACTGCGAACTAACTCAAAATGCTTGTCATCTGGGAGCCGAGTCAAACTGTCAAACGGGAGCCAAACATTCAAAAGAGCTCAGAAGTCACGTAGGTAGTTACTATTTCAACCACAAGTAAAGGTGTTGCCACCTACTGAAAACAAATTAAGAATTATAATTATGAAACTGTCGAAACATCAACCTTAGTAGGCGCATAATGTAAATCATCGAGCGTGATGCTCGAAAAAGTGTTTTTATTTGATATTAATAATGCCAAAACTGGGTTGCTGAACCAAGAATGTAATCAAACTTTATAAGAGTCATGTGAGCTTTGTGGGCAGGTGCACTCGCATCACCATGTATACGTTATTTCTGGAGCAGTGTAAGAGGAGCCAAGGGTTCATTTAACAGCATGTATATACAATTTCGTGAGCAGTTTCAGCAAAACAATTTGAAACTTCGGAAGATTTTCAAGATGTTTTCTAGCTCACTTGAAAAATAAAATCGACTGAGTTCGCAGTACTCAACTGCATACTATCTTGAGAAACTTGAGAAGAATTGCTTCACGGAAAGACGAGGAAAGGAACACGTTTTTGTTACCTTCACCAACAGAAAATTAAATGCAAGATGTATTTGATTCATGATGGTGATCAACATTTGCAGCAACTGATAAAAGTGGATACAATATTACACTCATCAACATTATTTAATCTCATATTCTGTGTACATCGTTCAGCGTAACGTTCCACAACAAGCGGAATGAACAATGTGCAACTGTTTTTTTTTCTGTATTCGTCAGATTAGTATGTGGTATGTGTCTCCAGTGGGATGCCTGCAAGAGCTAACATCCAGTGCTGTCGTCTTAAAATTTGAGCTTGGTAGTCGAAAAAGTAACATAAGGGCACACCAATTGAACAAATTAAGAAATTTTGGAATCCGATATAAGCTGGTTAGTCGTCAACTACCCGCGACTACCCTCAACTACAGCACTGCTAACATCTACTAAATTTACCTTAAAAAAGAAAACTGGCACCACTGATAAGTTCTTATTAGGGAATAATTGCCAGAAACTTGCGCCTGCAATTGCTGACGCCTCAGGATCTACGCTGTTTTTTCTCATCATCAAGTCTCTTAATATCTACCAGTTTCTCCTTTCCCTCCACAACCTGCTTTATCCTTTCCAATGATATCGAACATACTCAACTGGGGTCTCTAGTTGGATCCAATGGTCTATCAGTCTAGTTGAATAAATTCAACCATCTTCAAATTGTCTGTGCAGCTTAAATCTATCGCTTTGACTATATTGCACAAACAAGCCATCTTGCAGAGCTCCTTAAACGGAAGGTTCCACTTGAGGTTCTAGCTTTGCTAGCTATAGAGTCCGCTCCCGATGCTGCCCAGGTGGCCATTCGATGATGAGAAAGAAGTATATCGGAGTGACTGTTCCACATTCTCCTGTTCAGCGATACATCCAGCTTTAGGTTCAGTTTAAGTATATTCTGGATTTGCTCGAAATTAAAACATTTCTTATAATTGGGTTTACTGTTTTAAGCGTGTACAAAGAAAACATCTGTCAAAACAATGATTTTTTGTGGTGTTCGTGACCTTATTTGTGTACGAAGTACTCTCACAACTACATTGGAGCCTGGTCAGTAGACTGATGCAAAACTAGAAATTTGCGCTCCACAGTTTTCAAATGGTTTCAAATCGGGTCCTGGTTAGCCTCCGAAAGTTTAAACTCATTTGTTAAGAAACTGACTTGGCACAAACCATTTGAAGTTTATATGGAAATTACTATGGGAAAACCAAACTTTTTGTTCATTGTCTTCTAGCCTTTTTCGATATTGTACTGTTAACAAGTGATATTGCTATTCTCATAGGAATTTTTATCAGCTACAAGTTTGCAGAAAATCGTTTTTCAGCCAAACGTCAGATTACATAGTTATTAATTGTTTAAGAGATAATCTTATGGCAAGATTGAGCTACTGTATTGTGGGCAACACTGTATTCTGCAGTGTGACATAGTAGCCATGATTGTTGCCCTCTATTCTACGCGCCATAAACACCAATGTTGCCTGTTGAACAGTTGATTGAGCATAATCATAAGACATCAGTAACTTGAATCATTAATAACTTTTGTTCCTTACATTTGATCGAAAAGTGGTTTTGAACAAAGTTGTAGCTGAGAAAATTATCAACAAGCGCAGTTATCATTTTCTAAAGTAGAGTGAACTGGTGAATTATGAGATTGATATGAATCGAAATTATGGTGTCCCCATAGTAATTTCCATATAAATTTCAAATGGTTTGTGCCAAG